ATTACACTGGTCACTACAAAAACCCCTTCACTGCCCACAATTCTGCTGTGTTATAATGAAAGCAAAGATTTACAACTAGCCAAACCATAATGGTGACTAGTCTTGCATATCTCATCCCCAACCACACTCAATGCATGGGAGGATAGCGTACCGTATAGTGGGAAATTTTGGAGGGAATTAAATTTGGCAAACTGGCATTTATAAAATCTGGGCCAATCACCAGCAATTTGCCAAATTTTACTCCGTCCAAAATTTCCTACTATACGGTAGTACCTCAACCACACACATCACACTATGCAAGACCAAAAATAATGACTAGTTGATCCACTGTAAATCAACCGCTTCATTATAACACAGCAGGATGGTGAACAGTGATTTAGCTATGTAGGTAGCAGTGCAATTATCACAACTGGTGTAAAGATCTCGATGCTGTCATGCTATCATGGATCACGCATGGTAGCAGTGTCCACTTTGACCTTTATGAATATCGTATCATCAACAATAAATCCACCTTGCATTAGTTCATTCATTGACACAAAACGAGGGCATCCACTGGCAACGTTCATATCGGATCTTGGCTTCTGGAATGAAGAACTCAATGGATCAGGTTGGAATATGTCCATGATGTCACGAGCGCCGCACTGGTTGATTAGCTTGAAGGTAACCTTGTGTGTGAATGGCCACTGGAGTATGTTATCAAATTCTCCTTTCATCAGAACAAAGAACAAAGACATATGAGTGCCCTTTCCTATACCATCCCCCAGGATGTAAAGGCAAAGACATATCTTGTATCCATTGCGACTGGAGTAGAATGGAGGAGAAAATATTGAAGTGTACTTCCCAGTCCTGGCATCATCCATACGCTGAGAGAACTGAGGTATCTTCCAGACCATAGAGCCATCAAAATTACTATTTTCTATTAGGGAAAGTCGGAAAGCTTGATCTTCATTCTCAGACATCATAGTAGAGAGTGTTGTCTCCAGTTGGGCCATTTTATCTTGTAGAGCGTGTATTTGGCTGTCCTTCTTTGTCGATTCTGCTTGCATTTCTGTTATCTTTGTCATTGCTAAACTCATCAGTTTGCCATCAACTCTTCCTCCTCGCATATCTCCATATCCTCCTCCTGCACTGTCTTCCAAAGAAACCAAGTCACTTCCTATAGGACCTGGTCCATCAGTGTTGGTGTATATAGCAGTACAGCTGTGAATTTGAGACTACAAGAGATTGAAGAGAAAGAGTAAATCCATAATAAAAACACAAAATAATACAATCAACAGACAATAATACTGCTTCCCACATCTTACCATACAAAAAAAGGGACACAGTTTTATTAATGAGAGTGTAGGGCTATGCATTTACATGCATACCTTTACATGAATACTTTAAGCAAAAAATTGCAAAATATACATGTATAATGTGCAGATGTGCCAGGTCCGAATAAAAAATTACAATAAGCATAAAAGCAGTACATTAACCGGGATTTCGGCCCTAAGTGATGAAACTGATGATGAGTCATTGAGATCTTGAACACAGGAGCCCTGATCTAGTCCAAGGCAGCATTGCTGTGGAAGTAAAAGAAAGAGCACGATCAGACAATGTGTATACACATACTGATTGTTTGAGTGCCATTTCATCAAGTGCAGTTGCAGCGCAATAAGTATGTTCCTAAAATTAAAAGAAGCAGATTATGAATATAAATATCATGCCTAATAAATGTAGAATGGCCAAAAAGGGCTGACTGACAAAATTTAATTTTGAGAGCCATAAGCCACTTGGATCAATTAGGCGAAAATCTATTTACTTGTAATCTTCAAAAAATTGTGAAACCCCACCAAAAATTTCGCACTGAATAGTTATATTACAGTTATAATACTAACTTCAGGCAAGTAGCCAAAAGAACGAGATCCTTGTATGATTGGACGACCACTTGATTGTTCATATTCTGTAAGACATTGATTAACGTGTGACTGGTACTAAAAAGGGAAAGGAATTGTGAATTGTAAAATATTGAATGCTATTTATGTGTATGTATAGTAATTATATAGGCAATTGTTTGGTAAATTACATGTACATTTACCACAAGATTGCTTTAACTACAACCTCAGATAAAGATAAGCCCTTTTTACAATGAGGGCACTCTTCTTTCTCATAGACACAGCTCCCGAGATGTTCCGCATAAAATTCGCTAATTTTACCATTCCAGTCACATCCAAATTTACAATTAGGACACATTATAGAGAAACGATTGATCTCTTTACGAACGAATCGATCAAGAAAGAACTAAAATTATAGAGAGAAGTCATTAAGATGCACAAAATTCATTTTAATCATTGACGTACTGGTCTTCCTTCTTCAGTAGTAAGTTCTTCTCCACATTCTGTTCTTGGACAACATGGAGTTGTTTCTCTGGAATGACACAATAACAAAAAAATTGTTACTTTGCCATTCCAGAAAAACAACGTTACGAAAAATAAAATAAGTGAGAATACTCAACATGCTTAAGGATGTACTTTTTGTCAAATATCTCTTCAGCACAATCATTGCACAGCCAATGGCCACAGCTGGTTTGCACGGCGTCTCTAAGGATCCCGTCACATTTAGGACACACGTACTTCTCTATATTATCCTTGTTGTTTTCTGTCAAGAGATCGCTTTTTATTAAGACACGCGACATCTTTTCTAGGAGCTCAGTCTCGCGTCTAACTGACGTACTAGTCAAAATTCAACGTCAAAGCTTAGTGACAAGTTCTTTACAATGGTACAGCAATATTGAGAAGTCGTCCGACAGGGAATCCCCTGGGAAATTCCCCAGAAAAAGCATAGATATTAGAAAAAGGAAACTCTGCTGTCTCTACCCGCAGAAACACCATCCAGGCTGTTAACGAGATTCATGGGTACACTGACACACAGTAAATAAATTATATAGCTATGCAAAAACTATTACAATTATTGAAACTTTACAATAATACAGAGACAAAGAATTTGGGAACAAAAAAGACAAATGCACAATTGAAGCCACAACCATAGTATATGGAAGACCTGAAAAATTATATGTAAAAATACAGAATTAATTAAAAATTAGTTAATCAAAGTAGATTAAAGTAGTATGATTTAGAGTAGCAATTCTGGCACAGACATTTTAGATGGTAAGTGCATGGATTATAAGGGGTGTAGCAAAAAAATTAATCAATAAAATCAAGATAATAATGTTTGAGGATAAATGGAAGTAGCAGCTGTCACTACTACAGATAATCACTACAACACAATAATAGCAAGTTCACTGCCATGATAACAAAATCACCACCACTCATAATTCTGCATGATGTAACACAATGAAACAAGCCAATTAATCATAGACCTACGAGGTCAAGTAACCCAACTATGCACAGTACAAGTTAATGCACTGTACATTTGAATGATGCACTACGAGACCTATATCCACAGTAGATCAATGAGTAAATGGCTTCATTTCATTATTATACAACTTGCAGAACGATAAAATGATGACGATTAAGTGATTATAATAGTAAATTTGCTAGTAGTGTAGTTGGAGTGATCATTGCAGTTTGGAGCAATCAGGCAATAACTCCTTAGACTCTCTCCTGCTGCAGCTACGGATGACGCATCGTAGCAGTGTCCACTTTGACCTTTATGAATATTGTATCGTCAACAATGAATCCACCTTGCATTAGCTCATTCATGGACACAAAACGAGGACATCCACTGGCAACATTCATGTCTGATTTTGGCTTCTGGAAGGACGAGCTCAGTGGATCAGGTTGGAATATGTCGATGATGTCACGAGCACCACATTGATTGATTAGCTTGAAGGTAACTTTGTGTGTGAATGGCCACTGGAGTATGTTATCAAACTCTCCTTTCATGACAACAAAGAACAAAGACATGTGAGTGCCCTTTCCTATACCATCCCCCAGGATGTAGAGGCGGAGACACATCTTGTAACCATAGCGACTGAAATAGAACGGAAGAGAAAATATTGAAGCGTATTTTCCTGTTCTAGCGTCATCCATACGCTGAGAGAACTGAGGTATCTTCCAGACCATAGAACCATCAAAATTACTGTTCTCCATCAGGGAAAGTCGGAAATCTCTATCTTCATTCTCAGACATCTTAGTAGAGAGTGTTGTCTCCAGTTGGGCCACTTTATCCTGTAGAGTGTGTATTTGGCTGTCCTTCTTTGTTAATTCTGCTTGTATTCCTGTTATCTTTGTCATTACTAAACTCATCAGTTTGTTGTCAACTCTTCCTCCTCCCATATCTCCATATCTTCCTCCTCCTACTGCTCCAGCTACTCCATCTTCCAAATAACCCAAGTCACTTCCTGGACCTGGTGATGGACTTGGTTCATCAGTGCTAACATATCTTCTTGGTGCTGTTGGTAAAGCAGAACAATATTTAGAATCAGAGCCACCAGATTCGGATTTCAATGGACCAGTTGATAGAGAAAAGAGTGCAGCAAACATCATTACAATATGATTAAAAAGACCATCTTTTGATGACAAATGCTCAATGCATTCCTCTCTAGTCATCTACAAATAATAATATAATCTTTTTTTTCATTTTAAGTACCATTTTCTACTCACTTCCTTGGTTTCTTTGCACCCATGATCTTTCAAAGGACAAGCAACAGTCATCTTAGGACATTGATCAACATGAGACTGGTACTATAAAGAAAGTGAATTCATGATTAATGTGAATAATGTTATGAATATAATCATTCCAAAAAAGGAATAAGAAGCCGCTAATCTAAAAATAACAATCCCTGTGTATAGCGATAAACAAAAAAGGTCAAAATGATATCATGTATGCTGACATATGCAATCAAAACAACATAATAACAATAGAACACATCCATGCAGTTACAAACCTCAGATAAAGAGAAGCCCTCTTTACAATGAGAACACTCTTCTTTCTTAATCTCATAGACACAGCTCCTGAGATGTTCCAATAATTCATCAATTTTACCACTCCAGTGACATCCAAGTTTTCTATTACGACACATTATAGAAAAACGATTGATCTCCTTACGAACAAATCTGTCAGGAAAGAACTAAAATGAGAAATAGAAAGTTATTAAGTTATACATAATCAATTATAATCACCAACATACTGGTCTTCCTTCTTCAGTAGTTAATTCTTCTCCACAATCGGTTCTAGGGCAAAAAATTGTACTTTCCCTGTATTGAAATGAGTAATTTAAAAATTTTGGTATAAAAATTTTACTTTCTGTCAAAAAGCTCCTTAGCACATCCATCACAGAGCCAATGGCCACAGCTGGTCTGAACAGCATCATTAAGAATACAGTCACATTTTGGACAGGCATATTTTTCCAGTTGCTTTGCATCCTTTTCTGCCAAAATATTTATTTTGACCCAGGAAC